AAACAGTCCTCCATAAAATGTGCTGCACACATCTGGATATTTGGGTTAAACTGTTCTGGAACAGTTTTGTAAATACCACTGATTTGTAGTCGTGTCCTCTTTTGGAAGACCAAACAAAGTAGTTTCGCTTTCACAACGAAAGGCTTAGCGGCTTAGCGTGCGCTGAGGCCGGGATAGAGTAAGCTGAGGCGTCGGGGTCGAGAACGGCACGCCCGGTGGAATGAGCGGCAGCAACCACATGTGACGACCCCGGGCTGGATTCCGCTTCATCCACGGTGAAAGTTGATGTAGTCCCTCAGCGACCAGCACAGATCAGCTCTAGGCATGACGAAGCAGATATCGTCCTCTTTAGGAAGACCAAGCAGTTTCGCTTTCACAACGAAACACACAGCGTCTTCAGGACATGGCTGCAGCGTCAACAATACTACAGCGAGACTAAAAGTTACGCCTTCTTTCTTTGCGTGAACATTTGGACGGCGTTATGCAAATCTTCCCACATAGTGAGGTAGGTATGTGGGGGCGTGTTAGAACGAGACGTTTTAGGTAGGTGTGGCTGGCTCTTAACTTTTATAAAGAATATCTCTTTGGAACACTCCAAAGAGAAAGGAAAAATTGAAATCGCATCATATGACCCATTTAAATCAATTTTGGATCATATTCAGGAAGTAAGACAACAATAAGTTTGTGTACAGTTGCTATATACATCCGCTACATTTTTCTGTCTTGTTGTGGTCTGGTTGTTTTTTTTTACATGCGACAAGTGACAGAATGTTTACCAAAAAAATCACTATTGCAAAGACACAGACCAGAATACTTGTATGTCTAGCTTGTTAGCAACACAATTTTTGTTTGTAATTTGTTTTTGTAATGTAAATTCGAATTACATGAATATAAGGTACACTCTAAAAAATGCTGGGTTAAAAAGGGACAACCCCAGCTATTGGGTTGTTTTGACCCAGCAGTTGGGTTACCCAACTGCTGGGTCAAAACAACCCAATAGCTGGGTTTGTCCCTTTTTAACCCAGCATTTTTTAGAGTGTTTTAGAGTTTTTTTTAGTGTCTCTGAAACGGTCAACTCAACTCTGCGCTCGTAAATTTATTATACACTTAATATGCAATGCATATAACGTACAATAATCATGATATTGATTTATTTTTGACATAAAAGGTCAAATGAAAACGCTTTTGTCGCCAAGACAAAAGAGGGCGCCAGCACGCCGAGTCAAGCAGGAAGACGTGTTTTTAATTCTACAGCAGAGATGTTCTGGATTAAGAAGTCCCTTCAGTTCTGTTTTAAACCAGGAGAGCGGTATTATTTTTAATTCGTCTTTAAACTCATCAGCTATTTGTTTTATAACTCCGGTTTAGCGTTTTATTTTCTTCAGCACGGCAACGTCTTACGTTTTTAGTCGTTTAAATGAATTAAACCCCGTGGGAAATACGTAACTTAAAGGTTTGTATTTTTTTGTTAAATGAGTTTCATACAGTTTAAGTACTAGTTTTAATGTGTTACTCTCTAAAAAACAAAATTCTCAAATACTCTTGATTCTCTCAAATGCTGTGAACTTTCTTTCTGACAGTTCTATAACATTTTCAGACATCGAATTGATTTCAGGTATTAGTTTAGTCAGCCATAAACCACATTTTTGGGGGGATTTCTGCCTGTAATCACAAGGATCCAGGTGCATACAAATGCAATTCAATCCAACAACTTTCATCCCTGTTATGAGATGTATAACATCAATAAACATTTACCACCCCATTTTACCTTATGAAGTTAATATGCTTTTAGTTGCATACATATTTTAATACATTGTTATTCTGTAACATGTTACTTTCAGAGAACACATATTCAAAATAACTATGTAAGGACCATCACTTTTCCTCAGTCTAAAAAAACATTTATGAAATATAATATATAGCTGCTTTTACATTTGATCTGATATTTCTCTGAAATGCTCTGCAGTGCCCTGTGTGCGTCATCATGCCGGTCCAGTGCAGTAACTGCGTCCAGAGACGTGCTGTGCTCAAACGGCCCAAGACCGGACACTCTCTCTGTAAGGACTGCTTCTTCTGGGCGTTCGAGGAGGAGATCCATCAAACCATCGTGTCCGCCGGACTCTTTAACCGTGGAGAGACCGTGGCCATCGGTGCCTCGGGCGGAAAGGACTCTACCGTCCTGGCCCATGTGATGAAGGTCCTGAACGAGCGCTACGGTTACGGCCTGAGCCTTCTGCTGCTTTCGGTGGATGAGGGCATCACAGGCTACAGAGATGATTCGCTGGAGACGGTGAAGAGGAACCAGCAGCAGTATGAGCTGCCGCTGAAGATCGTGTCTTATGAAGAGCTGTACGGCTGGACCATGGACGCCATCGTGAAGCAGGTGGGATTGAAGAATAACTGCACTTTCTGCGGTGTGTTTCGCAGGCAGGCGCTGGACCGAGGAGCCATGATGCTGAAAGTGGACAAGATATGCACAGGCAAGTGATCAGTGTCTTTCACTGCCTTTACCAGTTTGATCAAGCATGTCTGTGTGAGATTTTAAACATTCTGCAAGACAAATCATGTGTTTCAGTGTTAATAAATCGCATTGTCCCATCTCAACCTTAAAGGGTTATTTCACCCAAATTCAATCCAACAACTTTCATCCCTGTTATGAGATGTATAACATCAATAAACATTTACCACCCCATTTTACCTTATGAAGTTAATATGCTTTTAGTTGCATACATATTTTAATACATTGTTATTCTGTAACATGTTACTTTCAGAGAACACATATTCAAAATAACTATGTAAGGACCATCACTTTTCCTCAGTCTAAAAAAACATTTATGAAATATTCCTGCTTTAAATAATGCCAAGTGCCAGAAAGGGTTAATGCAGGGTCTTCAAACTGGGGGCCACAAGAGTGTGCAGGGGTCTGTGGAAAAATGTAAAAATAAATAAACAATTAAGATACAATTAAATATTTAGAATAAAATAATTAAATAATCCATCTATCATCATCATCCATCCACCATCATTACTATAGTGAGTAGAAAAATGTAATGACGTGTGTGTGTGTTTTTTCCACATTAAAATTAGCTGAAAATGTATAGGTGCTTTTACATTTTAGAATGATTTGCAGCAGGATGATCATATTTGGGGGTCTGTGTCACACAAAAGATTGAGAACCAGTTAAAGATGTGTTTTGATCTGATATTTCTCTGAAATGCTGTGCAGTGCCCTGTGTGTCATCATGCCGGTCCAGTGCAGTAACTGCGTCCAGAGACGTGCTGTGCTCAAACGGCCCAAGACCGGACACTCTCTCTGTAAGGACTGCTTCTTCTGACGAAAATGTGGAATAAAGTCGTTATTATTGTTTTCTCTGCGCAAAAATGCATTCTCGTAGCTTCGTAACATTACAGTTGAACCACTGATGTCACACGGACTACTTTGTCGATCATCTTGGTATTTTTCTGGACCTTGAACGTGGTAGTTACCTTGCTGTCTATGGGAGGGTCAGAGAGCCCTCAGATTTCATCAAAAATATCTTAAATTGTGTTCAGAAGATGAACGAAGGTCTTGCGGGTTTTGAACAACACAAGGGTGAATAATTAATGACAGAATTTTCATTTTTGGGTGAACTAACCCTTTAATATATTGGCAAGTATGTTTGGAAATAGAGATATATTTACATTCTTTCAAGATCCTCTTTCAAATTATGCAAATAACGCAAAGAACATTTCTTATAATGATTAAAAAAAGTAATTGTCACTGATGAATGGTCATGTTATTGTTCTGTCTTTTATTTATGGTTATTTAAATAATTATTATTATTATTTTTTTTTAGGCAAGATATCACTTTAAAATGTTTGTTTCCTGTGGTAATGCATAAATTAACCTTTTTGTTATCAAAAACATTATTTAATATGACTGAGTCATCCTGAATGTATTAGATTACACCTACAAAACCTTAAGGCTAATTTACAAGGATTTATAATTATGTTTTATGATATTTATACAGTGTAACGCTTAGTTCATTTTTTACATTATTCTGAAATACTCTGAACTCCTATAGAAATGAAAGTGACAAGGGTAGATCAAAAAAATCATCCTTGTGAAGAAAGAAAAAAGTTCAATAGAGTTAACACTTCTCTTTTATGGAGGACCAAGCCTGCAGAAATGAAAATTAAATATAGAAATAAATGAAACGGACCAGATCTGACACTTTTCTACCAAAGATGCAGAAAGGACCAGCTCCCTTATTTCCATGTTACATATAGAAAAGTAAAAGTAGATAAATGTATAAATATACAAATAAATGAAAAAAGAAAGTATAAAAGGAATTATATAATTTCTTCCTTTATTTTCCTATTCTTTCTTTTTTCTGCAAGTTTGGCCCTCCATACCTATTTTTTTTTCTTCAAAAAATAGATGTAATAAATGTTTTTTCCAAGGCTGATAGGTGGAATGATGTTTGTTTTGTTTATTGAGCAGGTCACAATGCAGACGACGTGGCAGAGACGGTGCTGATGAATGTCCTGCGTGGAGATATCGCTCGTCTCTGCCGCTGCACCTCCATCAGCACTGCCAGTGACGGAGAGGGTGCCATCCCACGCTGCAAGCCCCTCAAATACGCCTACGAGAAAGAAATCGTCCTCTACGCCTATTTTAAGAAGCTCGATTACTTCTCCACAGAGTGCATCTACTCGCCCAACGCCTACCGGGGACACGCTCGCGCCTTCCTCAAAGACCTGGAGTCCATCAGGCCCAGCTCCATCATAGACGTCATCCACTCCGGCGAGACGCTCTCTATAAAGGAAGGGGTGAAGATGCCGGTGCAGGGAACGTGCTCGCGCTGCGGCTACATCTCCAGTCAGGCGCTGTGCAAGTCCTGTGTTCTGCTGGAGGGCCTGAATCGAGGTTTACCCAAACTGGGCATCGGGAAACATCACCGTCTGCACGGCAAAATTCTGGCTCAGGAGCCTTTGACCGAACAGGAGGAGAAGAAACTGAAGCCTGTGGACTTCTGACACAAAATCGAGACTAGATTTGAAAAACTGGACATTTCCGTTACGTTTCCTCTGTGTTTTTTAAGATGCTCGGGGATGAATGTTCATAATGTGAGATGATTTTGTTTGTTTTATTCAAAGCCCAGCATTTTTTTTTGGAATGTCACATCTTTTGTTAATGCGTTTGCTGAAACAGCAACTTAGAAAACTGCCATTTAAAACCACAGATCTTGTTTTAAAGACAGACACGAACTTTTCTAAGTTATGCCACCTTCACGTCAGGAGAAACGTTTCAAATGCTCTTTATGACTTTTTAATTTATTTAAACAATATTCATAACAATAAAGATACTCATCATTTCTCCATTCTGTTTTCCTGTTTTAGGATCATAACTGTAAGTCTGATTTTATTGAAAAAAAATACATTTTACTGTCATTATTATTGTATTCCTTTTCCTTAATGATTTTTTCAAAGGGAAATGATTTCTTTATGGAAATGCAATAAATAAATAAAAAACATAATAGTTCTAAAACAAAGTTTGATTTTAGGTGAAATATGAAACTTAGCCAGCTTTATTCCAGTCAAAAATAATTGAAATTAAACTGAATACATTCAGTTACACCCCAATTTATAAGAATTCGATCAAGTCAAAACAGCTTTTTACGACGTGTCTTGCAAGGGAGCGAACAAATAGTTCATTTTAAATTGAAAAGGATCGTTTGAAAGACATGTAAGTATAGATGCAGAGGCAGATATTGATAGTAACATACAAAATAAAGGACTATTATGTTGATGATGATGACAGATTTTCAAACTTTAATCCTATTTTTCAAAGTATATAGTTGATCAAAAACAGTACACCTACAAGATGTCATTTATAAAAGTTTGATTGAATCCTCTTCTTGTTCATAACATAAATATGACTACATGTTATGATATGTGTTTTGCTCTTCGGCCGCCAGGGGTCGCTGCAGTGAAGCGAGTTCCTCTGTTCTGTGCTGTTTAGGGGGTCCAGGCTGGTCCAGCCACACAGACCTGCGTCTAGAAGAGCAGGAAAAACTTCAGCAGAGACTTGTCTTCTAATAACGAGCTCTACACACTGTTCTCCAGACTCGGATCAGGAGCGGAGTCCTTCTGGAAGCACGCGAACATGGACGATCTAGGTAAAGACACCCAGATTCACCCACATGTTGTTTGCAGAGAGACACAAACATAGCGGAAAGATAAGAGGGAGAGAGGCTAACTGCAGTAGCCAATGAGCTAACGCACAAGATCAGAGATACAAAGTAACAGTTCCACTGAACGCGACGTCACAGTGATACAGTGTACCTTCACGTTCCATTCTGCTGAGCGCGTCATTGGTAGCTGTTACAGTTCCTTTATTAGACTATCACTGTTCAAACTGATGGGGATTGATAAGCTGTGTTGGGCTGAACGTTGCTTTTGTCCTTTGGGAAGCATCTTTATTCCACAGATGCTGTTTTTTTCTCTTTAAAGTGGCACTGCTTGTGCGGAATCTTGCTGTAGCACATTGTTTGTTATTAAATTTGCATTTCTTTCCTTTATACATTCAGTCAGAGCCAGTTAAAGTTGATTAAAAATGCACAGCAGTTGCAGGTTGTAGCTCCAGACAAGAGAGTAAAAAAAAAAAAAAAAACTTCTAATAGAATCCCAGATTTGATCTAAGATTTATAATGTGAACATTAAATAATTAAAGAGAAAATACCATCCACAAAGCTATGTGGTGTATCACCAGTCGAAATGGCACATTTGACAGGCATTTTTGCTTAATTGGATAATGCTTTCCAATCAGAGCTTCGTTTAAATCCTTTACATTTTATCAATGCAGAAAGCCTCTCAAGCCATTCTTTGTAACCTGGATGTTTTGAGAGTAGTTTGCGGATTCGTTTGTACTCAGAACAGACCTGTTTTGTGTGAGTGATTGATTGATAATAGCAGGGAGTTGAGAGACAGTTTTGTATTTATTGATTTTGTGAACTGCTGGTCAGATAATAACTCCATAGGATGGGTGTGTCCTCTTGGGGATGAACTGACTCCACCCATAACAGCCTTCATCCCACTGCAGCCCCTCTGTCACCTCAAGCTAACTAGATTGTTGTATTAGTATTAGCCACATTACCACATAATACAATAATGTAGTCTGATTTGATGCACAAACGTTTAGCTATATTAAAGGAATAGTTCATCCAAAAATGACAATTTTCTGAAAATGTACTCACTTGATGCTGTTTTTTTCTCTTTAAAGTGGCACTGCTTGTGCGGAATCTTGCTGTAGCACATTGTTTGTTATTAAATTTGCATTTCTTTCCTTTATACATTCAGTCAGAGCCAGTTAAAGTTGATTAAAAATGCACAGCAGTTGCAGGTTGTAGCTCCAGACAAGAGAGTAAAAAAAAAAAAAAAAACTTCTAATAGAATCCCAGATTTGATCTAAGATTTATAATGTGAACATTAAATAATTAAAGAGAAAATACCATCCACAAAGCTATGTGGTGTATCACCAGTCGAAATGGCACATTTGACAGGCATTTTTGCTTAATTGGATAATGCTTTCCAATCAGAGCTTCGTTTAAATCCTTTACATTTTATCAATGCAGAAAGCCTCTCAAGCCATTCTTTGTAACCTGGATGTTTTGAGAGTAGTTTGCGGATTCGTTTGTACTCAGAACAGACCTGTTTTGTGTGAGTGATTGATTGATAATAGCAGGGAGTTGAGAGACAGTTTTGTATTTATTGATTTTGTGAACTGCTGGTCAGATAATAACTCCATAGGATGGGTGTGTCCTCTTGGGGATGAACTGACTCCACCCATAACAGCCTTCATCCCACTGCAGCCCCTCTGTCACCTCAAGCTAACTAGATTGTTGTATTAGTATTAGCCACATTACCACATAATACAATAATGTAGTCTGATTTGATGCACAAACGTTTAGCTATATTAAAGGAATAGTTCATCCAAAAATGACAATTTTCTGAAAATGTACTCACTTCTCAGGTCATCCGAGATGTAGATGAGTTTGTTTCTTCATCAGATTTGGAGAAATGTTGCATTCTATCACTTGTTCACCAATGGATGCGCTGCAGTGAATGGGTGCCGTCAGAATGAGAGTCCAAACAGCTACAATAATCCACACCACTCCAGTCCAGCAGTTAACGTCTTAGAGCATGTTTGTAAGAACTTCAAATGCTTCCTCCAGTGAAAACGTCTGTCTCCTTTTGTCCCCCCAGCATATTTGTTTACAGCTGTTTTGGACCATTTTGGCTTATAAACGGTTCTTGGTCTGTACCCATTTTTCTCCTGATTCAGACAAGATGACCTTTTCACTGGAGAATACAATATCATGGATAGAGGTAGACTTGTGCCGGTATTCGGTAATGCGATATATCACGGTAATGAATATGCACGATATTGTTATCGTGGGCACTTCTAAATACCGTGAATAATTGTATATTACAAATTATTCCGAATTTTGAATGCATTTTAAGAATTCTTTTCCCATCAACTGGTCAAAATGCACAACGCCGCAACACGCGTGCGCACTCTGATGTAAACAAGCGCGGACGAGAAGCGCACGGCGGCACACGTGAGACGCTCTGGATGAAAGCGCACTTTCACTCTCTGACAGCAGATGGCGCTAAACTGCAGAAATAATAATAATTCATTTAAATGCAACCGTTACCCCGGAAACCCTGTAAATAAAGCAGCTGCGCTACTTTCTGTTTCTGAATCATGTTTAAATGGTTTAAACAGCCATTCAGATTTGTGTATTTGCTATAATGTTCATCACAGCGCCAAATACTTAAATATTTAGACTTAATAGGCTATTCTTGTAATTCGTCTGAACATTCGTTAATCTTGGGTATTCCAATATTTAATAACAGGTTGTTAAAATTAAAAGTTGCAACCGTGTTATTTAATGAGCTAATGTGAACTAAGAATTGTATTTTTTAAACAAAGTTTAATAACTTCTGTAGCAAATGTAGCTATTGCTCATTGTGAATTTTAATGCATTAAGGTTAACTAACGAGGTCTTATTGTAAAGTGGTACCTATTGGTCTTTATAGTTCTTTTGCACTTTAATCGGTGTAAAACTTTTAACTTTATACATTTTTCTGTATTGCTTTATTGCATGTAAACGTTCAGTTATTTTTGTTATAAGAAAAAAGTTATTAAACCTGTTATACTGTATTATGACAGCACTTTTTTTTAAAACAAAATTTCAGTATCGTATACCGTGATAAAAGCAACATGAAAATTTGATACCGGCATATCCCTAGATATAGGATTCGTAATTTAGCAGGAAGCACTATTTTGAAGTAAAAACTTTGTTTCTTACAAACACACAGCTTTTTTTCGGTCATTTATTGATAGACTGGAGTCATGGTGAGGTGAACTATTCCTTTAATAAACCTCCTTTGATAAGCTTATTTATTTTGCTAGCCAAACTATTGTGATTCTGATTGGTCAGTTGCAGCGTTGAGCGGTCAGATATTTCTAAATAATGACCATTGACCAGGACAGCACTGTATAACAGACCACTCATCTGGTCAGTGTTTCCTACATAGCCTTCTGTCTCTCTGCCATCTCTACATAAAATAATTTGATCTCAGATCAGCATTTGCTCAGACAGCAAGGTAACAGGTTCGATTCCCAGGGAACGCAGGAACTGATGAACTGTATAGCTTGAATGCAATGCAAGTCGCCTGGATAAAAGCCTTTGCTAAATGCATAAATGTAAATGTGTATTCATTTCGGAAGCTACCCTGTGATAAGTGGGATAATGTACAGTTAGCTGGTCATTATCACTTGATTGTTTTGCAGTAATGCCTGGCTGACTCTGACATAAGAGCAGTGCTGATTATGAGATGTCTGAAGAAGGAATATATCTGCTGGTTGTGTTTCAATGCATGTTGTTGCATGCAACTCGTTCTGTCCAGAGCCGGAGTGACAGACGAGTGCGTGCCGTCAGTGTGTTTGACTTTGAGTTTGGATCTGATGCTGCTGTACAGCAGTTTGCATCAGACGGGGAAGTCCAGCGCCTCTGTTTGGAGTGGGGGAGGGAACTGACTCACTCGAGGGTCAAAGGGCAAATGAGAGGAGTTTTTCCAACCAGCTGCTCACAGTGGAATGCTTTATTAGCTTCGTTAGAGGCGATCAGTGTTTCAGATGAAGAATTAGCCTGCTGATGAGGCCAGATGACCTCAAGTGTATTTGGACACATAAGTAGAGCCCAATGAAATCCATTTGGATTTTTCAGAAATTCTGTTTTAATCGTACTGGATTAAATTTTAATGGTTTTTATTAGGCTTTCAAAATCAAAAGGTCTTTATAAAAACTTTAACAATTTAATAATCTGTTAATGTTAACAATAATAGGGCCTTATGAAATGTGTTTTACTGTTTCAGAAATTCGTTTTTTGGATTCTTCGATTTGAGTTATGATTTATCACACAAATGTATTATTAAATATGATAATACAATTCAAATAAAAGTTTAACAGTTTTTCTTTTTAAAGCGTTTTGGATTCTGTTTTTGATGGTTAATTAAATTGTAATAATTAAAAAGGATGCCTAATTAATTTGATGTCATAAAATGTTAACAATTTAATCATTTTACAATTTGAACAACAATTAAGGCCATATGAAATGTTTTGTCAGTGTTATGGGTTTTAATCTAAGTTTTATGATTTCATACAAATTTATTAGGTGGCCTATTTAAAAAATGGTGGCATTCAAATAGTAATATAAATATTTAAGTTAATTGATGTTTTAAAATTGTCTTTTTTTTAAATTTACAGTTAAATTAAAGCATTGACAAAAATGGGACTATTATTGTTGTTGTTATTATTTTGTACATTCTACTGTGCAATAGTAATATATTTCTGTTATAGTTTCTACAGGTTAATCCAAATTTTTATTTTAGTAGGTTGTAGTGAAGACCGTTGAGTTTCTCTTTGTATCGAATGATAATTTTCTGAAATGAAACGGTAAAATGCTGTTAAAGTGACCTTCAGAGCAGCTGTAGAGATGCAGTTCATGTGTTGATGTTCTCATATGAGCCAGCAGATGCTGAAAACATCACAGGTGTCACTAGTGTTTCAGAATGTGTAATAGACTGCGCCATTCATTCACAGAGACACGCA